TTTATTTCTGGGTCCTGAGAGGTTCATTGTGCTCAGTTTACGACATGTATTACCAGGTCACCTTTCCCAGATGCATGTCACTCACAGACAGCAATTCCTGAGCACTGCAGGAGAAGCTGGGGTCAGCTCTAGGATTAGACTGCTGACTCCGGACACCTGTCCAGGTATCATTTTGTGGAGGTTTTTCAGATTAATTACAAGGAGGGGTCTCTTATGCAGTGGTCTGGAGGTGGGTCTTGGGACTATCCAGCATATTTCTCATTGGTTTGCGGACAGGAAACGGACAAAGGGGCAGCAATGTTTGCTGATGCCAAACCTGAGCTTCTGTCCAACTAGGAGCACAGCTCCCAAAGAAATAAGTCTATAGATGCACAGGCTGCAGATTAGGACTGCATCTTGTTTTTCTTAATAAAGCTGACATAGTAGGATTACAAGCTATTCCAGATGGTTTGACACATTGCAGGACAGTTGCTGTGTCCAGGGCTCTGATTAAATTCCCTGTTAACCTCTACAACCTTCTCAAGTGAGAGTCATTTCTTCTCACAGCAGATTATGTCAGAAGGAGCTAGACAGACTTTCAAAGGTGGAACAGGAGCCTGCCCTGAGGTTACTTACCCAAAGCAAAGCCAAAGGATTACTGAACAGCTATGCAGCAGGCTAGGGATGAACTTGGACTTCAGTGTGCTACTCAGAGGGTAGTTTGAAACCAGAAAATACTAAGGTGCCTTGTGGAGATATCTACCCCCAAACAATCACACCCGATGGAAGGAGAAGTGTCCAGCAAAGAGCACAGCAGGGCAAGTATGTGGCATGTATGAAGAATAAGGGTATTCCCAGGCAGCACAGACCTATAGCTTCAACGGCCACTAGATGTTGCCACTGTTCTTCTCTGAATTACCTGGGGTTTTGGCATTCACCTGATGTGATGTTAAGTCTGGAGGGTTTAAAATCTTAGGAAATCCTTTCTTCCTAATCTATCCTCTTTTGGCGTTCACATATGGTGTGGCTCAGTCCCACATACCAGAGGAGAAGGCCAGCCTCATACCAGGGATGCTTGCTGCAGCTTGGAGGGGATTCCTGTGTAGTAGTGTGTGGGGCACACAGGCAAACAGGCTGCCCAGCATGTAACACACCATGGGCATGCCAGCTATTTCAACACACACTCCAGCTCTGTGATCAAATCTTACATATTCTGTCCCAGTCCTACATCTCATCGTGCATTAAGCCCACTTAGTGGCAGGAGGGAGCCTGGCATTAACTGTTTCTCCTATTGTGGTGCTACAAACTACTGACAAGTCTTCCTGATGTCTGTATAAAAGTGGAAGAGATTAAGCATATACGAAAAATTTTAAAATAGCAAATATTATACATGATGTATTTAAAAAGAAAAAACAACCAAAATAAAGCCAAATCAAGAGTTTTGCAACTTTTTTTCAGCACAGATTGAATCATGTTGAAAGCCGCTGCTTCTCAATACTTTCAGCACAGATCAGTCCTGGGCTCCAGGGAAGAAGGGGAGCAGGGTCAAGATGTAATTCTCTGTCTTTGGAAAACTGAAATGGTGAAGGCTATTTGCCAGACTGACGCCATTTGCCAGACTTCCACATGATCAAAATGTGCTCAGGAGACAGCCCTGCTGACGACACCTGTCTTAGCTACCGCTTATGTCCATCTAGCCCTGTGTAACAAGGCAGATTTCATCTGCTGCTCTTGAAATGATTTTGCAGACATCAAAAATTTTAAGTTAGACCATTTAAAATTAGGTGCACAAGAATCCAGTGCAAAAAGAGAAAGCAAAGCTTTGTGCAGGCTGTTCCTAAAGCCACTTAAGCAAAGGGTATATTTGGAAAGAGGGAGGTGGTCACAGTGAGATACAGACAGTTCCTTGTATGATTAAAAACTCCTCCCTGAAGTGCTGACACGTCCTACAGGCAGCACATGTACTACTTCACTGACCTAAGTGAAAACTCCATGTACTCAAGCAAAGATTGAATTTAGCCACCAAACCTCACCACATGCCAGGTAAATTCCCGTCTCCCTATCCAACCCAAAACTAAACCAGCTCATCAAGCAAGGCTTGTAATGACTTCAAACCTTGAGCACTGACTAGCATGAGTGCGTAAGATAATAGTAAGAGCCCTATCTTATCCATGCAGATTTCATTGTATTACTTATGGCAGAGATATCAGATTGGGACAATATTCCCAGTGGAAAAAGTCACTGAGCTGCTGAAAGTAACACCATGGCAAGGCACAAGTGAAGTCTCTGCTAGACCCACCATTGACATTTCTAGACTAGTGAACCAGACATTTCTAACTCTCAGAAAAAACTGTGCATAGAGAGGAGAAAGGACCAGGATTTAGTTCTCAGCCTGGTAACTGAAAATGGAGACATATAATTTTATTTGAAGGTAGAGTAGGAGGTGAAAATCTCAATTAAAGATATGCCTTGGTGCATATGTGTCAGATGCAAGACTGCTTTACCTAAATCACCCTATAAATCCTGGTGCCATACTAATAGGATAAAGCCTCTCTCACATTCCTTCTAGGTTCAAGGCTCAGGCTCTGTGCAGTACGCTCCAGCTGCACTCCTAGGTCCTGTTTCTCACCCAGTATACGTAGATATGCACAAGCAGATGAAAATAACCTCTGGAGGATCAGGGTTGCAAGGACAGAACGGGACTTCACATAGCACTGAATGAGGGCTATGGATCATCTTTCAAAGTGGAGGTGGCCAAGGTCTCTTCAGAATTTGAGCCTGACAACAGCCACAGGCACAACAGCATTGAAAAACCCGGACAAGAGGCAAATAGGAGGCAGAGTTTAGCATCGCTCTAGTGACTGCAAGAAGGTGTCATATAGTGGCAACTGCATTTCTCAGCTTCTCACCCCGTAATATAAATCACATTCATTTCTTAGATGATTATCAAAATGGAGGTAGAAGCTTCCTAAAATTAAGAGGTAATCCTAGTTCATGCCTTTGGGAAAGGAGAGGCAAAGGGCTGCTGAGTTTAAGCAATATAGCAGCATGTTGTGTCTGTTCTCACAATGCCCCCCCCAACACGGCATCACCTTGTGACAAGCAATAGCTCCCTTGATAAGTAGGGTTTATAATGCAGGGAACTTGAATAGGAGGGCAGCATCTCAAAGAGCACAACTGGGCTTCATAGCAGGCACTGGGCACTCTGGGCAAATCCCCAGCATGATGCTAAACCAATCCAAGAGAAACAAATATGTACAACCTGCAGTGAGCAGTGCTTGGCCAGCATCCAAGAGACCTGCTCCTCTGTGGCCACCTGCACTTGTGCAGAGGAGTGTGAAGTGTGGACAGATGGTCAGTTGTGATAGTAGTATTTGACACCCTCCAGCTTTGTGCAGATGTAAATGCCTTCATGGGCATGAAGCTCTGTGATGGTGCCCAGAGCAGGCAGTGGGTGTTTACAGTTCAATTGTGCTATCCCCTGCACCTGTTTTACACTGGCACAGCTCTGGGAAGTTACTCCCTGATCACTGGCATGGGAGTGTGGGGGCAGGATCTGGACCATCCAGCCCCCACAGATCATTCTGGTGTATCTGCTGGGCTCAGTGAAAGACACAGCACTCTTTTGGATAGTGGAAAGCGTGCAGCACGGTGCTACAGTGCCTATGAACAAGGAAGAATAAGAGCTGTGCTATAGGCACAGTGTGAGGTATACAGAGTGGTTATATGGATGCAAGCAAGAGGAAAATGAGAACTTTAGGCCAGGAGATTGCCATACATGCCCTGACTCCAAGCAGGGTATAAAGGCTGATTATTGCCCATAGGTATGTTACAGGAGTCTTATACAGGATCTTCCAAACAGTGCTGGGGGTTAACACTTTGTGTTTTCAACCCACTTACCACGCTGAAGTTTCATATACATTTGGTGCAAGCAAAAACAACTCTGCAAAATCTAGGAAAAAGGGAAAGTGACTGCATCCTGATGTTTCTTTATATTACCTTTGCTTGCAATTCTCTTTGCAAGTGATTTTCTACTACAATCACAGCTGTGTTTTTTGTCCCCACCCGCCTTAGACTCTAGATTTATTCAGTGGACAACTTGATTTTGACACAATGTGTAATAGGAAGACAATGTTTTCTGTAGGATTTCTGCTTTACATAGAAACTGAAAGGTATGTGCATCTTTGAGTAATCTAGTAAAATGAGATATGTTCCCTTCATCCTAGAACCACAACCCAAGTGCGTATGGAAGAAGTAACTAGGAGAGTCACCACAAAATGAACACGAGCTAAAGGAGGGGAGTCATTTGCATGTACAAAGCTGCACCAAATGCAAGCAATCAACCCTATTTCTGTCATGAATCAGAAAATTAGTTTCCTTGCTATTTGATTCTGCTGGGTTTCCCACACACATTGCACAGCTACTTCCTAGAACTCTGTAAATAGCTTTCTAGACTTTGTGGTTTTCCTACTACTTCTTGCTTTGTGCATACAATTATTTTTCTTCTGTGCTTTCTGATGTATTATTTGAATGCCTGGCATTTTAGGAATTACGTATGAGAGCCTAGAGAACACTGGGTTCAATGATGGAGTGAGGAGGGAGCAGAAGGAGGGTGTAAAACACAGCAAGACCAAAGAGAGCTTTCGAGGCATTACTGACAAACAGGATATTGAGGAGGCTTTATGAATTGCATTAAAATGCAATAGAAGGAGGAAGGGGAATGGCATGTCCATTTGAAAAGAGAGGAGGAAGAAGTGACCAGGCACTATGGAGTGCCTGGTCTTCCAGGGAACTGAAGCAGTGACTGCAGGAGGCCTGAGGAGCAACCTTTTCCTTTCCCCTCTCCTCGGGGCTGGTGGCAGTGCTATCTGAGACTCTGCCCTCTGGGCCTTTGGCTATTAATAACCGCAGGATGCCTGTGCGAGCAGCTTTCAGGAGTCAAATTCACAGCACTTTGCATCAGCACTTTGTGCTGGGCAGAGCTTGCCTGCGCCCAGGCACCCTGGGTGAGTGGGGCTGCTGGACAAGTCTCCCCAGCAGCACCCAGAGACGGGCTGGGAGGAAGCAGCTCACTGCTGAGCTCTGGGCAGGCGCGTGAGCTGGTCTGAGCCTGGCACTGCAAGCCTGAGGTGAGTTTACTGAGCAGCAAAATAGTTTAGAGCAGGTGCTGGAGAGGGTAAAGACTGGTTTGGTTTGCAGCAAAAAGAAGGAAATGACTGCTGCAAAGATTGATGCAGAAAAAGAGAAATTGAACCAAGGGATAGACCTCAGGGGAGAAAAGCATAATTGTGGCCCTGGCTTTACGTACAGGATAGTGGGGAGGATGGGGACCCCATGGTGGGGTGGCTGAAAGAGCAGTAGTCCCAGTGTTGCTCTGGACCCTGTCCATAGTGAGAGACTGCTGCCCCTTTCCTTATGCTAGACCAATTGTACGCAGCAGGTTTTCCACTCCGCAATCTTGCTGGATTAGTAAAGGAGGACAGCAGAATGGGATGGATTTGCCCTTGCTGCTCCTTGGGAATGGGTGTGCTAGAGGACCATGGTTCCTCACCAGGGCCAGCCCTTTCTGCCTCGCCCCTGTATGTTTGGGGCATAGAGATTATTTCCCTCTGTTTTGCCAGTCTTATGACCCATCAGATGGGCCATAACCTCCCACCCCTCTGCCTCCTGGCAGCATTGCTCCTTTCCTGTCAAGCAGGGCCTGCTTCTTTTATATAGCCAAGCAGATGTCTGTCTGCTCAAGGAGAATGTGCAGCGTGTGCTTTATGGCTGCACCTGCTCACGCTTGCTTTCGGAATACACCAGGATGGACTCTTTTATGATGTGTACTATGTAGGCAGCATCTTAGTAAAAAAAAAAAAAGCTTGGAAATCTGAAAGAAAAACTAATCCAAGAGAGTATCTGCCAATGTGATGGGAGCTGGTTTGCTGTGGCTGGGCTTCTTTTAGCAGTTATCACCACCTCATCACATGAAAATCATGTTGCAACCGGAGCAATGGTGGAATGAAACTGCAAAATATATAGGAGATAAAAAATGGCTTCATCACAACAAGGGCAGTGTACAAAATCCTAGAGCCAGCTCTTCGCTTCCTAGTTTTAAAATATGGTTCAATGTCTTCAGTTATGAAATTTTAAGCAACTAAAGTGCAATGAAGCACAAGGACAGAGATGGTTAGTTATTGTCTGATATTGTTGAAGCCAATGGGTCTTTGATAATTTTTCTTTGTATTGTATTGGGTGAGGATCTGTCCCCCTATATGCTGTTGTTTGGGAATGGACAGTGCCGAAGTGAAAGCAAGACATTTACCCGACTTACTTACATTATGTGTGATAACCCACAAGAAAGACTCTGAGAAGCTGCCTGAAGTGGAATTGCTGAGACTTCTCCTGATTTTTACTAACTTTGCAGTACAGATCTCTCATCCTATCTGGGGACAGAGATGGGGAACACTGTACCAGAAGAAATCTCCCTCTTCTCCTTCTCCCCCTTCCAAAATGATATGCAATAAGATCAATACATAAGATACAGGTGCAAGTGACTTCAAACAACTTGGGCAAACAACTTTTCCTTTAAGAAGTTTGACTGTTCCTTCTCCCTCTAGCCCTTCTGTAATGAAACAGTAACAGTCATAAAAGACAGAATTACACAGAGTTTTGGTTTGTTTCCTTTTTTCCCCAGAACTTGCAGTCTACTGGTTTTCTGAATACCTACTCTAATTCTAATAGGACTATCTAAATATCCAAACCAAACTTGCACATTATTCGAAACGCTCCAAAATAACTCATGGGCAGATCCAAAATCTTTATACAAAAATATATATCATCATCTAATGATAACTGCATGGTAATATAATATGGTATGATAGAGCAAATTTTCAAACGGACATTCTGTTACTGCAGTACAAGATAACAGGCTACCACTGTGGCACACATGGGTGCTGGGAGACTGCCATGTTGCAATTAAAATGCCTATTTTGGATGACAATGCTATATGGCACCTTGGCAATGCTTCTGCTGTGATCTGCTTCCATATTTTGTGTCATAATGCTGTCCCCAAAGAATACCACAATGGCCTGCTTGATGGTATTCTGTATGGGATGATACCATTCACTAGCCTCTTCATGTGGGACAGAAAAGAACCTGTGTGTGAACTGAACGCTGTGTATCTCTTAACCGTAGCTGGCAACTAAAGGAGGCAAGAATTACCTTTCCAGTGTTTCATTCTCCATTTCCTTGTGTGTTTAGAGCAAAGGAAAGAACCCTTTGTGGGAATGCCCCTTGCAGGGACTCCTGCTCCTGTTAAAAGGAAAAAGTCCACTAAACTCATTGGGAAGCTGACACACGAAGGTAAGATACGCAAAACTGCACACATGAGAATTGTTTGCATTTCAACCTGAATTTCCGCCTTTAAAATTTCACACCCTGTCTGACTGAACTCCCAGAGCAAGACATGCAGTCAACATACCAGGAGGCAGAACCACAAATACTACTAAAGCTCAGCCTTCAATCACATTATATTTTCTAATTTACTGTTCAGAAGCATTGCACACACACATTCAGGTCAAGTGTTGACCTAGATTACACTTTGTAAATCCATATTCTTCTGCAGCATTAATTTGGATGCACACCAGTGTAAGTGGAAAGAGAACATGATCTTTTATGGGTATCAATATTGCAGTGCCTAGTTATACTCGATGTTGTTCTCTCCCTTATAATCTTTGCCTCTAATTTGTTTTTCCTCTATGTGAAAAAATTCCTTTGATTCCAGCACTCATGAGTTGAAAACGTTAAAGTCTCTTAGAGGGCGTGAAACAGCAGGA